TATAATCAGATCTAATAGCAAATTTAATATCTACCTTGATTTTAATATTTCAAAAACACTATTTTACCAAAAACTAAACATTCCATCTCTTGCAAATTCTTTAGATCATTTAAAACAATGGTTTAAACAATTTTTTTCAACATATAACTAACAATTTGCCCAAACATTAGATAAAACCAAAGTATTTAACTACTTAAAATACCAAATTTGACAGAAATTTATTTCTTACCTAAAAGAAACCTTATCTACTAAAATACAATTTTAACAACCTTATAACTTACAAGAATGTCAAAATAAAACAATTAAATTAGCCAACTTTTATATTCTTACTTGTAAAGAAGAAACTTGTTCCTATTTAGAAAAAACAGAACCCAAAAACAAAGAAAAAGAACCAGAAAATACAAACCCATTTACAACAACTTCTAACCTTCAATTTTAACATAATTTCTCACAATTATTAAATAATATCTTTAAAAAATCATATATAGACTTTTTTTTAAAAAAAAATAAAGTTTGAAAACAACCTGAAATCAATCTATCTATATTCTACAAAAACAGCAAACATAAAGCATCCTTTAACAAACAAATTTCTACCTCTCTTTTTGATGAGCTTGCAACAGAAATAGAAAAATTTGCTTACAAAATTAACAATGTTTTAACCAATTTCAAATGTCACAGCTATTACTTCTATTTATATCTTAATTTATATCAAAACATCATAGCACAAAACCATTATATTGACAAACTTGATAAACAAAAAGCAGTAGAACTTATTACCTCCAAACCTACTAGTACTGAAATATTAACAAGAGTTTTAATATTCTTTAACTCTTTTGACAAATCTCTAACATATTCACAAATCAATACATATTACTGAGAAACAGCCTATTTAGAGGCTAACAAAATATTACATGACAAATTTAAAAAGTCATACTCAATATCTTTCTTAATTGAAAAATCTCCCTTCCTTAAGAAAACCCCTTTTTAATAAATCTGTTTTCTACAAACTCCATAGATGCAGCTGCCACTTTGCCAAAAGATACACTCTTAGTAGTTGGCAAGAAAAATGATATAAGTAGACAGATAGTAAAGCCCATTTATGTAAAAGACCAAGTTAATGATGATTAGACCCAATGTACAGAGCAGACTATGGCAACCTCTACAGCTGTGCAAGCCAAGCTTCAAATAGTGAATGACCCTGTAGAAGACAATTCAACATCCTAAGTTCCTGCTTTTAATATTTCATCTCCTGCAAAAACAAATACATGCTATAACAAATTTCTACTATTATATAATCTACCTATTATACACCACTATATAACATTTGAAGAATTCCTATCTTATCTTCAAAAACATTTTTTCAAGCATAATTTTAAAATATCTATTAACCAAAACAAAACTGAACTACACATATACACTAATCTCTCAGATCCTACTCTTCATGAACATTATCTCATTTAATCTTTTCAATATAAACTTTATAAGCATTTACTTTTGCTAACAATACCAAATAGCACTTCATTCTATACTTATCCACCTTTACTTGACCAACTGTTTCTTGATAACTCATCTTTAGTACACTCACCTACTAATCTATCATCTATCTTCAATTCTAATCATACAGCCACATCTTCTAGCTTCTACTTCAATAATTATGTCCAATCTGCCTTCCAACTGATACAACTATATCTAACTTATATAAACCATATTACCTATCAATATGCATACATAATACATAAGGATATAATAATAACTTAAAACAACAAACATAAAAGAACTATTGTTTATCTTATTATATTAATATTGCTAGCATTACAAAAACCAAAATCTCACAAAACAATGCACATGACAAATTTCCAAGATCTTACCATTTTATCTATAATTGGTTATTTATCAATAGTTGTAAAGCTGGAACAGCTATTATGATCCAAAAGCATTTTAAACCACATGTTTACAAAACACTTAACCTTCCTGAATATGCTATTGCAATTGATCTTTTTTTCAAACATGACTTTAAATTTCACATTATATCAGTTTATTTACTTTGTGATAACCTCTAACTTAGACTTCTTATCCAGAACAATATTATACAATTGATTCAAGAAGCAAACACAAATTATATACAACCAATTTTTATAAATAACTTTAATATCTCTGACAATTTACAATTATCATCTATTAAACTCAAACTAATTCATTTTCTTTAACAAAACAATATATATGATTTAGCAAAACATATACAATCTCTGTCTCCTATCTGGCATAATAGTAGATATAGCAGTCAAATGATTATATCTGGGCCAACCATTCTATTATCTGATATTTAACTTTCTATCTTACAGATAATGCCAACCAAAATACATTTAGTAATCATAATATACTTATATCATCTAGGAAATTTCTCTATATGATTACTAGTAAATGACAATTAGTAACCAAAACTAAACATAGAATATTTGTCTACAACCAAATGAACCCAGATTTCTGGCAGGACTTTTCTAACCAAGTTACATCCAATTTTAAAAACAACAATGCACCTCCTACAACTAATACTACAAAATCACTTGAAGCCTCTTGGCACAAAATTCAAACTAGTATTATCTCAGCTACTCTTTAACATATTCCAAATAAAAAATTCACTGTTCATAACTTCCAACACATCTTTTCTTTCAAGACATTGAAATTAAACTTAGGACTTAAAAAACTAGACAATATTATTAGACAAGTCAAAGCTTCAATTTGGAACCACACTTCTATGTCTGTACTTCACAACCTAGACATTCATCAACTCAATTCTCTTCACCATCTCAATATATCAGAACTGCTTCAGGATCCTAACCTTTTATTTGACTAGATATTTGCAACTAATACTGAATGGAAAACACTCTACTTTTCTAAAAACTTAGAAAATATTAAAAATATAAGAGAACAAATTAATAACAGCATAGCTAAAAGGTGCACTAAACTTCAAAATAGTCCAACATCAATGATTAACACTATACTTAATCAATACAAAGATCCTGTTAGGTTTGACAATATCAAAGAACCTAACAATGTTATTACTGAACCATCACTTATCAAACAGCATATTCAACAACATTTTGATGACTAAACAGTTTCTTGAAACATTTAATTACAATTATTTAACACAATGTAACAATAAGAATATCAACCTAAACCTAATATTGATTCTACATAGTATTAATCAGCACTTGAGGAATTCTTTTTTATAGAAGTTTTTGAAATTATTAATTAACTTCCTAACAACAAAGCATGTGGACTATCAGGCATCAGCTATGAGATGCTCAAACATGCTGGAACAGCATTTCTTGATACAATTACAGCTCTTTTTAACCACTGTCTTACATCTGGTCAAATTCCAAATTAATAAAAAGAAGGAAGAATTTTCTTTATTTCTAAAACATCTATATTTGATGGCAATTTAACCAATACTAGACATATTAGTCTACTTGAACATGTTAAAAAACTTTACACAAAACTTCTTACCAATTGGCTTAATTACATCTTTACTTATCATAAAATTCTATCACCTTTTAACTACATAGCCTTACCTGATAACAGTACAGCTATTTCTATACATATACTTAACAATGTTATTGAAAAAGCTTCTGGTAACTCTAAACAACTCTGGCTTTTATCTTAGAATATAAGTAAAGTCTATAACTCTGTAGACCTTACACTCTTTACCAAATCTTTAATATGCTTATAAATGCTACCTAATCTTATTAACATTTTTACTAACTTGCTTACTAATCAACATAACAGGTTATTACAAATCTAGGCTTCACTAATGTCTATAATGTTAAAAATAGCATTGACCAAGAAAAAACTATTACCTCACTATTTTGGAGGATTTACTATGATCCTCTTATAACCAAAATAGCTTCAGACTTTTCAGAATACACTTTGGCTACAAGGTAGAATACTAGTCTGCTTCAACTAAAGTTTCTATAACTTCAAATCTCTGTATCCATACTAGCATATATGGATGATACACTTTGAATAGCCAAATTCAAAAAAGAATTACAATCAATTATTGCTATAGCTACCTCTTTCTACCATATAGCTAATATTCAAATCAACTCAACTAAATTAATTCTTATCTCAAACACACTATCTACAATTCCTATTCATTTTTTTAACTCATCATTTATACTGATTCCTGCTAACCAACCATACAAATTTCTAGAATGTTGGTTCACTTTTAATAATTTATATACTAAACAAAACCAACTAATTTATGATAAAGCAATCCAACTTATTAACATTACAGGCACCAAAAAAATTACAGACAAACAAACTATATATATTACTAATATTGTAATTATTTCTATTATTAAATACAGACTATACAATATTATTCTTAAACATTCTATCTATGACAAACTTTTATCCAAATATCTTACTATGATTAAACACAAAGCTAAACTTTCTCATACTAGCCCTAATAGCACTATGCTAAACTCTCATATATATAATATATATAATATTTAGGATATTCAATTACAATGTTATATATCTTGCTTTCAACAAAAAATTAACAACTAAAGATTCTTGAAATTTCTACTAAAATTAGATTAAGCAACTTTAAAACAACCTCTAGTCTGCTACTAATATTCTTCAATATAGCCAACCACTTATTGACAAACCTAACAAACTCACAATTAATTTTAAAATTATACTACTTCTACAACATCTTGGCATTTCAATTTTAGCAAACTCCAATGTTTTGTTGCCTAATACTATTCACGATGGCTACTAATTATTAGAACCAATACTTAGTCAACATTCCAAATATTATACTTTTAGAAAACAACTTTGCAAAAACAACATACTCTATCTAGAACAATTATGTACTGCAGTAACAGTATATGTAACAGTCCGCCATAACAAGCTCGTGACTCTGGAACGTGACCTGCCCATCATGACCCGTCGTGACCCGCCATGACCCTTCTCAGATAACTCCCAGCACATTAATAATGAAGTCATTAATAAAGAAGTAATTTACCGTAGCATTAATGGTGTGATCAAATGCATAAATTATGTAGTCATTAATAATAGCAATTTGTAGTTAAAAATAATATGTACATAAATTATGTAGTCATAAATTAGTAAATATACAAGTATTAGAAATAGCATCATAAAAGTATAAAAAAGCATTATAAACCTCTATGTACAAACTAGTTTGTTCAATAAAGCTTTTCCAATCTTGTAATCAAGTTTCGCTTCTACCTTGTACTTAAACCCTTCCCAGTTCTATATCTAAATATCACTCCTGCCTTGTACTAAGGTCTTTTCTCTGTCCTGTTCCTTGTTGAGTTCTATTTCGGAAATTGGGATCTTGACAGTTTGAACAGACTACTATTACGGGTTCTGGCTGCCAAGCTGAGCCCAACTTTGACTTGCAATTAGATCAACGAGTATCTGCCTCTTCAGCACCTTATATCTTAGCTCATCTGCCACCAGCTTACCATGCACTTAAAAATAAAATAATAATCAAAAAAAAAAAAAAATGGAGAGCCAACCTGACCTTAACGATATATTGATTGCTTTAAACCAACTCCAATTAGACAACCAAACACTCTACCAGGAAAATGCAGACTTAAAGAATACTCTCAACCAACTTCGTGCTCTTGGAGAGACAGACGGCCAATATAGAGAACCCAAAGTGAGCCTCCCAGACAAATTTGATGATACATGAAACAAATTTAGAGGGTTCTTAAATCAAGTTCGTCTTGTTATATGGTTGCAACCAAATCGTTACCCCAATAACCAAATGCAAGTAGGACTTCTTGGAAGTCTGCTCATGGGATCAGCTCTTGTGTGGTTTGCACCCCTGCTAAAAAAACAATCAGAACTATTGGACGCTTTGATACGTTAGTTAAAGAACTTGAGGCAACATTTGGTAATGCCGATAAGGCCAGAACAGCTGCCAATAAGATACGAAAACTCGTTCAGGGATCAAGACTGGCCTCAAGTTATGCTTCAGAATTTAGGCAAATTTCTGGTAATTTAGATTAGGGAGAAGCCGCATTGATCAACCAATTCAGAATGGGTTTACGAAACAATATAAAGGATTTACTTCTTACCTTTTAAGACCCTATTTCACTAAATGACGCAATTTGAAGGTGGTACGTTGTGATAACCAACTGTTTGAACATAGACAGGAACGTCCTAGAGACCCGAGTTCTGGAAGATATTTTAATCAAGTCCCCAATAGCTCATCTATCCCTACCACAGAACCCATGCAAATAGATACCATAAAATATAGGCCATTGTCTGCCAAAGAGAAAGAACAGTGTCATGCAAATAACCTTTGCTTATACTGTGAAGAACCAGGCCATATGGCTAGGAATTGCTTCAACAAAAGCAACACTTAGCCTAAAATTGATGCAATCGTAATTCCTAAGAGGTTTTCGGGAAAAGAGCAACCCCAGTTGCAGTAAGAGGGCTTCGGCTAGATGAAGACATTAGTTTACTTCAAAAAATCCTACCACCTAACCTGCCTACAGACGCACTTACCTTTAAACTATGTTTAAGCTTACCAGAAGGACACAAAGTGAACATCCTGGCCTGATTAATTCAGACACATCAGCTTGCTTTTTAGATATCACATTTGCCAAAAAACATAATATAAGCTTCCAAAAAAAAGAAACACTGTTAACAGTAGAGGTAATCGATGGGTGAAAGATCTCTTCAGGGAATGTCATGCATGAAACAGGACCACTATCTCTGAACTCTCAAGACCACTACGAAGAATTGTCTTTTAACCTTATCCCTTTCCCTCACTATCTAGTGATCCTAGGCTTGCCATGGCTAATCCTACACAATCCCACAGTTAACTGGCGCAAGCATTTTATTACTTTTACAGATCCATTGTGTAAGGCGCATCATCTAAACCCAAGGACCCCAATAAAGGCTAACTCCACACAAGAACAACTATATGTAGTTCAAATCTTTACTACACTAGCATTTAGTCCTAACTTCATAAACATTCCCTTTGTCCCCAAAAAATACCAGGATTTCAGTAACGTCTTTAACAAAAAAAAAGCTAATAAATTGCTTGTGAATAGGTGGTACAACTGTGCCATCGATTTGCTGCCTGATATACAACCACCATGGGGTCCCATTTATGAACTATCCACCTGAGAGCTTGAAGTTTTAAGGGAGAATATTGAGGAAAACTTGGAGAAAGGGTTTATCCGTCACTCCAAATCTCCAGCTGCATCCATCCTCTTTGTCAAAAAAAAAGATGGGACCCTGCGGATGTGTATGGACTACCAGGGTTTAAATCGAATCAACATTAAGAACTGTTACCCTCTCTCACTGATACCTGAACTCCTTAATAGGCTTGCTAGTGCTTAGGTTTTTACCAAAATTGACCTAAGAGGCGCCTATAATTTGGTTCGCATTAAACCAGGAGATGAGTGGAAAACTGCATTCTGTACTTGTTATGGACACTTTGAGTACTTGGTGATGCCCTTTGGGCTCATGAATGCCCCAGCGGTATTCCAACACTTAATGAATAATATCTGGATCGATTTGTAATTATCTATTTGGATAACGTCCTGATATACTCCTCAAGTCAAGAAGAACATACTTAACATGTACGGCTCGTACTGCAGCGCTTACGACAACATGGCCTCTATGCAAAATTAGAAAAATGTGAGTTTGATAAGGAAACTATAGATTTTCTAGGCTATCATATAACACCTGAAGGGACTCAGATGGACCCAAGTAAGGTTGAAAGCCTCCTCACTTAGCCTGTTCCAACCTCTGTTAAAGAAGTACAAAGATTTTTGGGATTTGCCAACTACTATTGTCATTTCATTAAAGGTTATATGCAAACAGTCACCCCCTTAATGAACTTAACTTAGAAATCAAAAAAGCCATCATCAAACTTTTGCTGGCCAGCAGCTGCCCAGGAGGCTTTCACATTTCTAAAAAATGCCTTTACTTCAGCTCTAATTTTGATCTAAGCTAACCCAACAAAGCCTTATGTCTTGAAAACGGATGCCTCAAACTATGCCCTTGGAGCAGTTCTCTCACAGCACAACAAAAAAGGTCTCTACTCTGTCATATATTATTCCCGAAAATTTACCCCCACTGAGATAAATTACGATGTTTATGACAAAGAACTGCTTGCAATAGTAGCAGCTCTTAAACACTGGCGACATTACCTAGAAAGCACTCAATATAAAACTATTATCTACTGTGACCATAAGAACCTGGAGTATTTTACTACAGCGAAAACTTTGAACTACAGACAAGCCCGATGGTCTCTCCTCCTCTCAAACTATGATTTTGAAATAGTATTTCGGGCTGGTAAAGAGCAAGAAAGGTCTAACACCTTGTCTCGTAGACCTGATCACCAACCCCAAGTGGACAACGAAGTAACTAGTCAACAACACACTATATTATTAAAGGCAAACAATCTTCACATAAATGCGACTTTTATAATGCCAATCGATGTTAGCATGAAAAACCGAATTCGCAACCAAATCAAATCAGACCCTCTAACTATGGACGTAATTAACCAACTAACAAATCATCCTGGGCACAAGCCAGGTAAATGTTCTGACTATCATAAATTCCAGTATAAGGGCAGACTCCTGTTTAGAGAAGGATTATTATACATACCAAGAACACCCAAAAGGTTGGAGGTGTTACAAGCAAGATACGATTCTAGGTTAGCTGGTCACTTTGGGATAGAGAAGACAAGCGAATTAGTAACCCGAGATTATTGATGGCCTAGGTTTCACTCCTTTATACGAAATTATATTAAATCGTGTGATATCTGTGCCAGATCAAAAAACCTAAGACACCGCCCTCATGGATTATTGATACTCCTACCTATACTCACACAACAGTGGCATTCCATATCCATGAACTTTATCACAGACTTACCCTTATCTTCAGGTTACGATTCTATCCTCGTTGTAGTAGATCGGCTGTCGAAAATGGCACATTTTATAGCTTGTAATAAAAATATCAATGCCAAACAAACAGCTCAGTTAATCTTTAAAGAAATAAATCAACTTCATGGTGTTCCAAAGGATATCGTCTCAGACTGGGGCCCCCAATTTGTTTCCAAATTCTGGAGGCACTTATTTAGTTTATTAGGAGCAAAAATCAATCTGTCATCAGCATATCACTCTCAGTCAGACGTCCAAAGTAAAAGAGTTAATCAGGTGCTGAAACAATATCTAAGATGCACAATTAGCTACCACCAAGACGATTGGGTTGATCTGCTTCCGTTGGCAGAATTTGCATACAACAACACCTCCCATGCTTCAACTAAAACCTCTTCTTTCTTTGCCAATTATGGCTTTCACCTACATTTCGACCTCTAAACACCTTTTCGTTTCTCAGTCCCATATGTCAAAGACAAAGCCCTGCATCTTTAACGAATTAAGGCAACAATCATTAGTGAGTTAAGAAAGGCTCAAGAATGCTACAAAGCGAAAGCAGATTTGCACTTTGACAAAGCCTCCAGGTTTGAAATTGGAGACAAGGTGTGATTGTTAAGTCACAACATTAACACCAAACGACCTTCCAAGAAGTTGGATTACTACGAGTTGGGCCCTTATACCATCTCTAAAAAAATTAACCCAGTAGTGTATCATTTGAACCTGCCTCCTATGTTCAAGATCCATAACACCTTCCATGTTTTTCTGCTAGAGCCCTATATAGAGAACAATATTCCCAGGAGAAGAACAGAACCACCTTCACCTATTATTGTCAAAGGAGAAAGGGAGTTTGAAGTTAACAAAATACTCGACTCCAAGCTAATTAGGAACAAACTCTACTACTTGGTTGATTGAAAGGACTATGATATAAGTGAATGTTCTTGGGAACTGGTAGAAAATGTAAGTAACACACAAAAAGCTGTTGACGCGTTTCATCAATGCTACCCTGATAAACCTAGACAAGCAATCAAAAAAGGGAGGGTGATCCATTAAGAGGAGAATAGTGTAACAGTCCGCCGTAACAAGTGTGTGACTCTTGAACGTGATCTGCCTGTCGTGACCCATTGTGACCCGCTGTAACCCTTCTCAGATAACTCCTAGCACATTAATAATGAAGTCATTAATAAAGAAGTAATTTACTGTAGCATTAGTGGCATGATCAAATGCATAAATTATGTAGTCATTGATAATAGCAATTTGTAGTTAAAAATAATATGCACATAAATTATGTAGTTATAAATTAGTAAGTATACAAGTATTAGAAATAGCATCATAAAAGTATAAAAAAGTGTTACAAACCTCTATATACAAACTAGTCTGTTCAATAAAGCTTTCCCGATCTTGTAATCAAGTTTTGCTTCTATCTTGTACTTAAACCCTTCCAGTTCTATATCTAAATATCGCTCCTGCCTTGTACTAAGGTCTTTTCTCTGTCCTGTTTCTTGTTGAGTTCTATTTTGGAAATCGGGATCTTGACAGTATACTACTCCAATGGCATCACTTTTTACCAAGACTTCATCATCTAATAAAAGGAAGGCAACCTTCTTGGTTCACCTATTTGGAAGACACAATCCTATCTAATAGAACACATCACTTAATCTCTCCTCACTTTCAACTTCTTGAAGTTAATACCTTTGCATATAATACTTTACCAATCAAGAAAAAACTCAAACCTTGGCTACTTATCTACAATAACAATAATAATAAGATCATTATTGGCAAAATTTGCAAATATCTCCCAAACACAAATCAGTTTTCTATATTATATTGGAATACTAATATTGATTTAGAACGCAATTACTACTATCTGCTTTCAAATTTGAACTGTACACCATGCACTAAATGTCATCTTAACTTAAACAAAATTATCCAACTATGTACAATTAACATTTTAGCAATTATTTGTACTAGTTTTCTAGGAAGAAAACCCTCCAAACTTAAATTTAATGCTAATTATCTAGATCTTATTTATTCAACAGCAATTAAACATTCTTTACAAATTTCTTATAACTATTCTACTATCAATATATTAAATTCAACTATTGCAGAAATCTTTAAATCTAATGACTGTTCAAACAAACTTGATGAAATTTTTCAAATCAACTTATCTTATAAGAAATTTATTTTTTATATAAATGGATCAGTAACTGATATTGGAACTAAACAAAGCTCAATGGGCATTGGATGGGTCCAAGTTAACAATAACAATCAAGTGCTTCATAAATTTTTAGCTAAAATTCACTACTGGCCATTATCTTATAAGACAGAGCTCTTTTTCATCTTATCAGCAATCTTAACTGTACCTTGCATTGCAATACTTCAAATCTATACTAACTCACAATCAGTTATTTTAAAGTTCTACAAACTCTTTACTCAACTTAACAATCCTAACAAACTTTTTAAATTTAATA